TACTTTTCACCAGAGGAAATTAGGGATGGGCATTTCAAGGAGAAATTTTATTTTATGTAAAAAACCAAATTCCGTTCGAGGGAAATTAGTTTCCAAAGTGTCTCCTCAACAACATTTAACTGTCAAACCAAGCCAGAAAGTCCACATTTACTTTCACTCAAAGATACAAACAACTCTTGTATGAACATGCCATCAACAAAAGTCCCAACCAGAGGCATCCCCCCGCCCCTGCGACGGCCCTGATTGGAATGTTGGATGAGATTGAATCCAAAGTGTTTAAGGGGTTTGGTTAAGAAGAGAGGAAGCACCTTTAAGAACTGCACTAAGACCTTCTTTAAATTCCTCCACCTGGCATACTTCACTATATGTGTGCATTTACTTTGCATTCAGTCACCGAGTCCATCTTTTTTTCCCTTTTCCTCCCGCTCTCACACACAGGGTAGAGTGAGGCAATTGAATTTCCTTTCAGGAGCAATGTGCAGAATAGTAAAAAGTTGAGGGCCACAGTGCTTGCCTCTATCTCACGCGGACACTGAACGCAGCCTAAATCCATCCCACTGTCCTTCCCCTTTCACACATGCTTGTCTCAAAATCCCTTCCACTCAGTCCGCAGCATTTTTATTCGTCTCTGTGGTGCGCCTCAACTTCTGTCCCTGTGGAGAGCCCTGATGAATGTGTTGGGCTCACAGCCTCTGATCATCCCTGCTCTGAACGCCTTTAGATACACACTGGCTTCTGGCTGCCTCCAATGCACATAAGGACCCTTTTTTTCCTTCCCTTACCCTCCCCTTCTCTGTCTTTCTCCCTCGCCCTCTCTCTCTCTCTCTCTCAGACTCACAAATACACAAAGGAATAATGTAAACTATAGAATAGATCTGGACCCTTTATCTTTCCCTTTGCACACACAAACTCAGCAGAGACAAAACCCCACTTTGACTCTTCTCTCTGGATGTGAGCTGTCACTATTGTTTCTTGTTCACATTAATGATGACATTTAAGAACAATTTCAAATAACATCCATAATTCATGTGGGAATATATGTACAACAATGTATGAAAACCAGTCTATACTGTGGGCTCATGCATATGGATAAAAGCTGCAAATTAATTATTCTTTTTGTATAATTGGGAGTCTCAGGATTTGATTACCAGAGCTAGAAGCGCGCGCGCGTGTGTGTGTGTGCGCGTGTGCGTGTGCGTGCGCGTGCGTGTGCGTGTGTGTGTGTGTGTGTGTGTGTGTGTGTGTGTGTGTGTGTGTGTGTGTGTGTGTGTGATATGTGTTAATATATGGTGCACATGCGAGTCTTCTTCTGTATATGTGTCTGTGTGTTGGAATGAATATATTGGGTTGCAGTTTCTCTTGCGCAAGTTATCTTGGGGTGCTGCACTGATTGGCCTGGCCTGGAATGCTTTGTGGAGCCCCTAACGATGTCAGATAAGACCTCATCTTCCTCACTGGTGTGCGCGTGTGTTTCCCAATGGGACACAGCTTGACAACACGAGATTGGGATTCGATAAGGATAAGTGAGCGCTCTGTTTCATCCAGGTCACCAGGGGATTCACTTCCAACTTCTAACACAACAAAAAGCACACAGACACACATAGAAGCCCCAATGCCCCTGGCAGGTGGCCCTCCAGTGGTATCAATTAAAGAGCCGGTCCAATCAATGTCTTAGCACAAGCCTGATACTCCACTACAAGGAGATTAGGGCTAAGCTTACATTTTAACACAGAGGAGAAAACCACACAAACATCATGCAAAGACCCCCCACTTACGAAACATTACACATCACAACAGAGAGATGTTAGCACAACATCCAGCCTCCTCTTCGTCTGCTCCGTCGTTGCATCTGGCAGCGTTTGTGCTTTGAGACGCTCCATGAACAGAGGACAATAATGGAATGTGTACTTTCTCCTTCTCTCACTGTTACTTTCTCTACTCTTGTCTCTCCCTCTGACCTAAATACTTTGGGTTTTTGATGATTGGACCAAAACAGAGATCAGAGGCGTCCAGCGGGCTTGTCGTGATAGTGGAGGGAGGGAGGCTGAGGATCTGAATGCACTCCCAAAGAGATGCTGCTACTTACCACACTGTACAACAATGAGCTCATAAACCAGTCAAAACGTATCCACACAAATAGCTGAATTCATCATCTTGAATCTCACTTAAAGCCTTACCTTTAGCCTTGCCGTGAGATGAAAAAGCCTTAGGCTATCAACTCTGTGCCCTCCACCAAGCCCCCGCTAATCCTGGCCCTGGAGGGAGGGGTCCATCATTCACACGCCCCGAAGGGACACAAGAGAACCTTTGCCCTTGGCTTGTGACCACACCTTGAGATTGGAGAGGCAGTAATGCAGCAATGGCAGGCAGCCCACCAGTTAATGATCTGCTTCTTCTTCCTTGTTCCAGATAGGTAGTGCTCACCACCATCACAGCACTGACACTTTGTCACACACACACTTTGTCTTTTGTGTCAAACACACACAGGCTGGAACACAATCAAAGCAGGAAACGCAGAGGTCAAAGAACGCCTCACCAGTTTTTTAAGTGCACCTATTCATTTTTCATTTGATGATGTGAGGGGATGTGATAGGTGTAAGCACCGTGATGAAGTCCCCTCCAATTCCATCACCGCTGCTCCTCCGTCCTGCAGGACACGACTTCTGGTCGAAGCTGCCCGTCCTTATTTCGAGTTTCAAAAGGTTTCACTCAGGTGGAAGTATTGCACTGCTTCCTCAGCTGAATTTTAAGGTTATTGAAAAGCTGAAGGTGAGGAAAGATGAATTAGAGTTTCACAACCAAAGCATCATAGTTTCTTCCCAATAATATTTTTGAAATTAAGTAACTCTATACATTGCCAGCTTAACTATTAAATGATAATGTTAAATAAAAAAAATAAAAACGAACCTGGTCTTCAGCAGAAGTATCCAACACAAACACTGCAGAATCTTCATTTGCATAGAATGACACATTGTGGTGGCATGAGGGCCTGGTGCTGTTAGTTTGAGCCCGACTGGTAAATGTTGACACTATTAACACCAGTTTTCTTGCTTTCTTATCTATATGAGGAAAAAGATTTTTATGCAATGTTTAAATGCAAACAGGACTCATTGTGATCTGAATGCACCAAAATCAGCCTCTCTCGGGAAAAAGCTACAAGTATCAGTATCTAGCAAATCTGCCAGCCCCGTATAACTCATTTGCATTTTGAGACCTGATCACAGTGCTGGCAGATTCAAGATAAGGAGAAAGCTTATTAATACCAGGTCCAATTGATCAGATGTGATTATCCAGATAATGTATCCAGATAAAGATCACATGTTGATACACGTTGTAAATGAGGCCTTTGTTTCATCTCTCTCCCCTCATTTCTTTTCATCTCTACGGTCAGATCTATAATTACAGCTAGGGTTCGTATCTTGAGAAGTTAGCAAGAGAAAGCTAAAATATTAAATGATCCAATCAAACCTTCACTGGTGAAAGTAACTAGCATGACTAGCTCCAACGTTGGCATCACTGACTAGCTGTCTCTTCAGCCTTCTCCCAAAGCCAACGCCCAAAAATAATGACTATGAACATAATACTAATTAACATAAACAACAAACACGGCTATTGCTAGGACTCGCAACCTGATAGTGAGTGCAGTGACCGTCTGGCAGACTTTGTTTAGGTAGGCATGTCAGCAACATTTTATCCAGTCCATATGATTATGGGCTTATGCGGTCTTGCAACAGACAATATAGTTTTTCTATTTTTTCTTGCCACATTTGCTGTTGGGATGTAAAGATAATAAAAAAATTGAATAAATAAATTTAAAAAACATTTAGAAAATACTCTTCTCTAGTACTTCTCTAAGCCACACCTCTGACTTGCGTCCTTTGAAAGAAAGCACCCGATACATCTACAGTAAACGTCTCTTCCATACGTTGATCAATCAAGAAACCAGTCTTTAGAACAGCTTCGTGATTTGCAGGATCAGTGAGCTAAAGCACTGCCGTTCCTCACAACGGTTACCATTAACCAACCCTCAAACCACAATTAAATAATCAATCAAAGCAACCAATGACTCCATCACACTGCTGAACACGCATCTAAAGTCTCACCAATCATCCTTTAAACTGTGGCACTGACAGAGCTCTGTGTGTGTCGAGCTAGGGAAAATGGCAGAGACAAGCAAAGCACACCTCAGCCCTCTGAAGTGGCTTCCCTTCTCTAAACACTGATCTGATAAGATAGGAGCAATCCCCACCGGGAATTTGTTTTCCCCGCACTTTCACTGCAGAGCGGATGATAGCGAGGGCACGTGGAGAGGAGAGACACATTGGCTCTCGTCTCACGGCTGCACAAAGTAAAGCCAGTGAATTCCACCAGTGTCAGAATCCAGGGCGGGTTATTGGTTTTGGGCCCCGGTCAGAGTGACCCGGAGAAGCCGAACATCTGCTTCTCTTATTTGATGAGGAGGCAACAATATGTGCTTGGAAGACACTGTTAGCTCTCGCTCACACAAAAGGAGAGCGGTGCCGTGACTCAAGGACGGACACAGGCGAGAAATTATGACTGCTTCGATTCCTCTACTCATTGACTAAACACAGATTCAATTAAACCTGGCTGAAGGTCAGGAGGCAATACAATGTAAGGGAGCCTGGCACTGTGCTTAATGAAAGTTCCCATGGCTCTGGTAATATTTAATCCAATGCCCCACCCTAACTACCCCTGTTTGTCGGCCATTTCTATGTCATAACATGCTTGTCTGAGGTCTGGTCTGAGGAATGTTATTCAAATTCCAAAGACTGGTGTCAACAAACTGTTTTACTTAGCGTTGCCAGATATAGAAAGATGATAGAGTGTGGAAAACAGTGTTGGCAACAGAGAGGAAAGGACAGATAAAGTTCAGAGAGAGGGAGAGAGACAGGGGGGAGGTGACACAGGTGAGTTGGTTGTAAAGTACAGTGGGCGGGGAGTGGATACCATGAGGGAGAGCAAAACAGTTAAGACAGTTCCTCAAAAATTCCTTTGCCTAGAGAAGCGGAGGGCTGCTGAGGGGAAAGGGAGAAGCGCCGAGCGGACACCAAGGTTACACATGAGGAGTCTTAGGAGGATTTAAACAAAGCGCAAGGAGGCAGAGAAGGGAAAGAGCAGGTGGAGTTGGTTGCCTTTCAATCTTAGCTCACAGCTAATTACCACTTTCTCACTGTGGTGAAAGAAAGCAAACAGAAACTAAGTGAGAAAAACAGCAAACAGAAAAGGGCAGGCAAAAGCAAGAGAAGTGAAAGCAGAAGTAACAAGAAAAGCAAGCGAGGCGGCAGCTAGAAAGTCGGGTGCAGGAGATTAACTGTGAGTGAGCGAGGGAAAAAGTAGGAAAACAGCAGATACTCATTGACAGAGAGAGACTGGACTTAACTCATTGGATTACTGACATCAGCAAAACAAAGGAAGAAGAGCGTCAGAAAAGAGGTCACTGTGGTGGAGCAGCAGTGCAGCTTGCCTGAGCCTGCCTGCTATGCAACTGAGACAGCTGAGATAGACACAGTTCACACAGACATTACATGTTACTTGTTAGACGCTTTTATCCAAATCGACTTCCATACTCAATACTGTGGACAATCCCCACAGGAGCAATTTGGGGTGAAGTTTCTTGCCCGGGGACACAACCACATGCTGACTGCAGCGGGGTTTGAACCTGTGCTCCCCTGATCCGAACACCAACGCACTATCCACTGCGCCACACGCCTCCCCAGACAGTCCTCTCTGTAGCTGCACCATGTTGATGAAAGAATACCGCATATGTATGCCACTGACTGTGGATGAGGTAAGTGTGTTTGTCTTTCCCACGCTCGTACACACAACCCTCCTACAAGTTTAAATTGAAAGAGGGGGCTTTTATTTCTAGTGTTAAAGTGTTGTTGACTTGTTATCTGGAAAGTGTTAATGTGCTGATAAGAAAAGTGCCAACAGAGCACAGAGACCTCCTGCGGCGGCTCTGTGGGAGCTTTGGCACACTGGGGTAAGCGCGGTGTGTTCAGCATCAACAGTCTCGGCCAATCTGATGGAGCCAAAGCACAACACCTGGCCGGTAGCATCATATCGCTGCGGTTGTGTCTAAATTATCTTCCCATCTGTCGGCTTCACTACTTCCCTCACATGCGTTAGCACGCCTCGCAGCGCAAAAAACTAGTCAGACTGGTTTCGGCTTTGCAAGACCTAAACTCAAACAAAGGTGATCCCGCTTGGGAAAAAAGAGGGACGGGAGACTGAGTTATGCGCCAAAGTGCCCTTCAAAAGGAACGTCCTCATCACATCCCAGTGCTTTCCCTTCCCCCTCTACAAGTCTACCCGTTACCACAACAATGACAGTGACAAATAGCAGTCCAAAATAGGATTTACAGTATCAGCTCAGGGCACAGAGAAACTTGAGCTGCCAGCAAATCCTCTTTCGCCTGAATGTAATGTAAGTTTAAGTGCAGATTATTTGAGGCAGTATCAAATCGTGACAGTTACCTCAGTCCAAGACATTAACAAAGGCCTTACCCTTGCCTCCCCTTAATTTATAAAGGGAATGGTGTAGACTTTCACGTGTGAAATATCCAAGAAGTAGTTCAGTGGTAACACAATACAGCTTAGTGTGTCTTAGGGAATGTTCAATATTGTGTTCTGCTGTGGGAAAATCTGACCAGGGGCGGCTGCAGCTCAGGTTGTATAATATTGGGTAAAGCCCCTTTACCACTCCAAAGAAACCACAAAATAATAATGCTAATCTTTATTTAGGGTTTTCATCTGTAACAACTTGGTGATCATCGTAAAACAAGATTGACAGACACAAAAGAAAAATCACCAGGTTGCCAACTCACCAACTTTGAAAGAGAAACTGAATAAATAGCAGATGTAAAAAAAACAGTATGCACAGTTCAAATGTTAGTGTTTACCGGCAATGCTTGTGTTGCTAGACAGCCCGTGTCTGATGTCTTACATGACACACCTATAAAAAAGTCATCCGAAATGCTCTGCTTACTGGCAATGGTGAAGGAGTCACCTTTTTTTTTTTTCAAACTTCTTGTGCACGTGCTGAATGAGTCCTTGAGCCGCCCTGTGGTTGTCACTTTGCACAGAAGCAACTTCATGATGAGTTGAAGCAGCATAGAAGGAAGATGAAATGTGGCTTTCTTGACACTGCTCAAAAGAAAAAGACTAGGCAGCTGTACAGATGTGTCATTCTCTTCCCATACCCTTTCCTTTGAGTTGAGTACACAATTAATTACAAATATTTACAAAGGTGTTTGTCTTGCAAAAAAAGGCTCATTGTCTTTGTCAGCGGACAGATCCAGGGTTACATAACGAATTCTACTTTTTTCTCTTAGCGTTTGATCACTGGATAATATGAAAGTTGCCACAAGCTTGACTTTAATCATATAATCTTTTATTTCCAGTTGCTATCAGACTGACACTATCTGCAGAGTCTCCACCCCACAATGATGAGCTATATTTACACTCAGGAAGTCATGACAAATTCACAGCTTGTTAACTTGTCTTTATTTTTGTTGGAGGAGAAAGCATGCCAAAAGCTTTCGATGAACGGTTCTATCCACACATCATTCATCAAAAGGCATGCACATTGCATAATAATAGTGATTGGAGTAAGTTTTCTAGACAGTCAAAGAGATTCATAACCTGTGTGGGAGGAGCTCGCTGCTCTGTAGTCTGTTAGCCTTGAGACGGTGTAAAAGCATCCATCGCTGTGATTAATTAAATCCCATGAATACCCAATAAGTAAATATTGAATGTTGACATTACACTGTAATTGGAATAAGGAGGAGGAGAGCCACAATGATGTCAACATTGCACAGTGAAGGATAGCAAACTGAGATCTGCCCTCCTCTTTCCCTCTGCCTCCTCATCTTCCACTTTTAATTAAAAAAATGCTTTAGTGGCACAACAACACATGAGTTACCGTATGGTGGCCACAGCAGAGTAGTTAGTGGTTTGCAGTGTTTTTTTTTCATATTGTCTTTAAAAACTCAGTTTGCAATTAGAGGGAACACAATGATGTACAGCGAAACAATGTTGAGGAGGAAAAGACAGAAAGCAGCATCAGTGCAGAAACTGAAGTATTATTGTGTAAATGGTTCAAAAGGAAACTGAATCAGTCAGGCCGCTCCAGATGCCCAAAGGCCTCGTCCTCTTTAGACTCGCTAAGAGAAACACTCCCGCCTCATCAGCATCGAGCACATACTGGGTCTGCAGCAGAGAACAAAGTGCCATCCCCCTCTTTAATTTAGACTCCAGTCGTTCACCCTCACCGGCCAAATTAAATGTTGATGTCAGATATGGTCACTTGAGGGAAATCTTTATACACAGCAAGTAACTGTTTACAAAATGAAGAGCAAATACAAAGCGGGCTTCTAAGCAGCACTGAGTAAGTGCCTGTCGAGATAAAATCACACTCAGCAACTATGGCTGAACCTGCTGCCAGGACATTTTTCTGTCATCACTCACAACCTCTTCCTCTAAGTCGTTGATGGTTATTATAATTTCCTCGATGGAGTAAGCGGTTTATTGACTAGTTGTGGTGGTATTATTGATTGGTCATTGAAGTCCTTAAAATGTAATATCACCTTGTGGCGTTGAAAAATGTTCTCCGACATATTCGGTTTAAATGCTTCTTAAATGTGAAGTCACTTACATTTTATTTAGACAGCTTAAAATCACAAACTGGCCTCAAAGGACTTTAAAATGTCACACCAAAAAGAGGAAGGAAAAGGCAAAAACGTTGTAACAGCAACAGAGGAGGGGTCAGTCTAACAGGGCAAGAAACCAAGCAGTCAATGTTGTATGTACAGAGCAAGGGGAAATAACAGTCAAATAAAAAAATGTAAACGGAGCCAACTTTGAAAACATATTGCATTTCACTGACATTGCACTTTCTCCATGTGTACGCCTACTTCTGTTAAACTACATTTTTAGCATTACCCCACCTTGTCTGTTTTCGGGGGCACAGTATTTATACCTCAACATGCTGATGGCCCAACCAAATCAAGAGAGGCTGTAACTGAAAAACCTCTTTGGGACATTAATCCAGCAAGTGTGCTTTTTATTGATTTTATAAAGTGAGGGTTGTTTCAAAAGTAAAGTAGTATTATTTTAGGATATCAGAGATAATACAATCAAAAATCACTTCAATTATATTTCGTCACCTTGGATGGCTTATGATGATTTTGCTTCGTGGTTCATGTTTTCTCATCACTGTTTCTCCCTCTCTTCCCCCTCCCCATCCTCACCTTCATACACCTCGTTGAAAACCTCTCCCCGGGCTCCAGTACAGGATTGGGCAGCTGTACATGATCAGTAAGCACAGCTGTGAGCAGAGTGGTGGTGGAGAAGGGGTGGAGGTGATGAGGAATGAGGCCGACATGCACCCGCAGCACGGCCAGGGTCAGCTGACCGAGAAGCGGATCTACCTGAGCAGGTAGAGGGCACATTGATTGGATTTATGTACTAATGAGGCACTAAAACTAAGAGTCCTGGTGATTTGCAACCTGGGCCTTATTGTCTACTCTGTCATTACGATAACAGATTGTGTTCGAACTTTGATCTCTTACTTCACTGTGTATTGCAGGTATTAGGACAAACAAGCAATAACACTTTGTTTCAACACAGAAACTCTCATACCGCAGTGTGATGTTCCCACATATCGAGTTCAGGAACCCAGTTACTGAAACATGTTGAGGCCCATTCTAGTCTGAGTTACAGTAGACATGTTATTGTACCATGAGCTCATCACAGCAAACCTTCAAGAGTTGAGGTTTGTACAAGTACAGACTCAGCTTAGAGCAACACGTCATCATGGGAAAAACATTTTCTGAGCCATTGGAGGCTGGACACACTTTAACAATGTGTGCTCATGAAAAAGAAGTAGAAGTTCATATATTAAAATGATGGTGACATGTTAATTATCATGGATTTAACAAGCATTGGTAACAAAAATTAGAAAGACTTACTCAATCTCATCACAAACTATAATGAAGTTTTAAGCAGTGTTTAATAAAGAAAAAGATGACTTTGGGAGATGGCGCAAGTTAGATGAGAAGATTGGCACAATAATGCTTTTACATCTGTACGTTTAATATGGAAATGGAGAACATCTAGCCCAGCTCTGTCATAAGGTAACAAAGTCTGCATACCAGCTCATCTAAAGCTCACTAATTAGCCTATATTGCTTGTTTAAAAATGTTTAAAAAAAGTGAAGAAATAACGATTTGCTGATTTGTGGTCGTTTATTTCCTGGACTATTGGCTGTGAGCAGTTGCCAGGTAACCATGCAGTGGACACTTAATATGTCCACAGAGCCCTCGATAAAAAAGCAACATTTCACTTTAACACTGCAGTTTTGGGCAGATTAAACACCTGATACAGCAGATTGTGTTGTCTTCACAAAGAGTCAGGCTAGCTGTTTCTATGCTAAGCTAAGCTAGCCAGCTGGCTGTAGCTTCACATGAGAGCGGTATTAATCTTTTCTCACATCTCTCTGCCAGGAAACAAACTGGAACATTTCCCAAAATGTCAAACTATTTCTTTAATGTGTTTGTGCACAAATATGACTCCTCTAATGATGTATTAACCAGGAGTTTATTATGTATGACTTATGTAAAATATCTCTGAAAGCTGAAGCTCTACAAGAAATCTATTAAGAAGATCTTTAATCAAAGTTTTTTTTAAAACTAGTTCCTAAGACAAAGAGTGCAGTTTTTTCTGATAATACACACATTCAGATTTACAAATTTCCTCATATGTATTTAAAACTATCAGATTATAAATTATGAATTAAGTTTTAAGAAATGCTTATAAACACTAAATAGCGAGGCATTAAAATAAAGCAACACCCAAAGACATGTTCTTTTGCTTCAAGCCGCAGTCCTCAACGTAAACAAGGAAGTATGTGAGACATGTCAACACTTAAATGTTCCAAATGAGTCTACTGCAGGAATTTGAAGCTATGCATGACGGCCTTGTCCATGTTGTTTTAGCTGAAATAAGTGGTTTATTTGCTTTATGTTCAGCGTTACAGACCATTAATCAATACATTTTGATAATAGAGAAAGCTCAGTCTAAAAACAACAACAACCAGAATTATGTTTTAATTCCAAATTCATTCCCTAAGCCTAAACTAACCTTACTAACTCCTCACCCAAATGTAACCTCAACATTGTTTAATGAAAGAATGTTTGTGTGGTTTTGACAAAGGCAAACTCAAATAGTATCCCTCAGATACATATACATTCAACCAAGATAAGTTATCCCTTATCTCAATTATTAAAAGCCATTACCAGATAGTATTGCTAGTATTTGTATAAAAGGTTACATACGGTAACATTATGCTTTGTTACCTGCAGGAATGCTTGATGGCCCTGTCCATGCTCTTGTGCTGATATAAGTGCTTTCGTTGCTTTGTTTTCAGCGTGACAGGTTATTAATCAATACATTTTTATTATAGAGAAAGCTCAGTCATAAAAAATAACAACCACCATTCTCTTTTATCTCTGAATTCATTCCTTAACCCTAAGCTAACCTCACTCATTACCCTAATGTAACCTCGACTCTTTTACTAATCACCACTCTAAACCCAATGCGTAATCCTAAAATAAACTCTTACAGAAGTAAAGGAATGTTCTCACTGTGGAGGATTTTCCTAATCTTTCTGTGCTTGTGGGACATTTGGTCCTCATTAGTAAAGATATGCTGGAACCCACACACACACAGACACACTCACACGCAGAGTATAGTGAGTGCATTTTACTTCAATCATTTTCTTGACATGTGCCTTGGAAGCTACAGTAACAATTCATCACCACAGGTGTAATTGGGAATGAGTCATAAAAATGAATGCTGTGGTGAGAGTAGCCTACAGGTAATCCGGCTATAAATGGCACAAAAACCACTTAGGCTCTCTCCGTCTCCCTCTATAATCTCTCTCTCCTACTATTCCTCTTTCCCACTCTCTAAAAGCAACCCTTATTTCTTTCCATTTTGCATTCAGTAAACTGCCAGCCTGGGCGAGAGCATTTGCCCCGCGATTCTTCTACGTGACGGAAAAGGCCTGGAACTTCTACCCGTACACCATCACAGGTTTGAGCGACTTTGTGTTAAACGTAAATTAACTTTCACCTCGATGAATTATACAAAACTTATTTACTTTTAACTTTGCATGTATTCCCCCGTGGTCATGTGTATGTGTGTGAGACCAATTGCGTGCTCATGCATGTATGAGTAACTAATGCAGTTTCTCCCTTTCCATATTGAACGTCCCTGGTGCTGCAGAGTACTCAGTAAGTATTCTCACACATCATTTACTGTACATGAATGCAACAGAGCTCATCTCTTTCTAGTATCAGTGGATCTAATCTGCAGCCTGCATCCACCCTCTATCTCTGTCCCTTTTTCCTCCTTTTTTTTTTTACCTCTTGTCACCCCGTAGGTATCATTCCTCCCCAAGTTCAGCATACGCATTGAGACGAGATTCGAGAACAACAACGGCGATAACGACAATGTGAGTATGAGAGGGAGCGAGGGGTGAGAAAGATGGAGTGATTATGGAAGAGGGGGAGGAGAAAGACAAGGCGCAAGGAGATAAATTGCAATTTTCTCTGCAGCGCAAAGAAAATGTTCATCACATTGATGTGCAAATTACAAGGAGGACAAGCAAAACACACAATGCAGTGTTGGAAGATCTATTAACCAGACATGCAGCGGCGGTGCGCACGGACACCATGCTACATTTTGATCAAGGGGAACACACACAAACAGATATTCAGTAACAAAAGCAACTCTGTCTGTCTTGCGTTCAGCTTTAGACAAAAATGTGGTGCGTCTTGTTTCATGTCATGTTGTTACAGGGCACTAAAGTTCAAACAAACACAAATTCATAAAGTCACGGATTCACTTGAGGACTGTCCTTAAGAACACATGAGGTATTAAAGTGTTTTCTTTTTATATCTCCATTATATTTTAGAGGAAAATATAAATCAATTATATTGTTTATTTTTTACAGCTGTTATCAAATTACGTACTACACACAAAACATATATCAAGTTATAAAATATGGCAATTATTTAAATATATTGAACTACCCAACAGTTTAGTTTCAGAGCCAAAACAATTAGTCTATTTTGATAATCGTTTACATCCTGTTCAAATGTCAAACACAGAGACGGCGTCATGCTCTGAGCAGAAAGTAAAAAGCAAAACAATAGATCCAGAAAATGCACCTCATTCCCTAAAAGGGAGAAACACCTTGGATTGACACAGACCAACAGCACCACAGGAGCGTGGCGGGCTATTATCTAATGGCAGGTTTTCCTTATTTGTTAGTTTTCAACTGTGAAATGAACAACTTCAGCGGGGCATTAGAACACATTTTAAACAAGGTCAGATTAAAGTGCGGCCCCCTCTCTCTCCCTAGCTTCAATCCATTCTCTCTCTCATTGAAAAATGTATTCTGCTCTCATAACTCTTCTTCTTTCCCCCCCCCCATCTCTTCTAATATCTCTTCGTCCTTGTTTTTTATTTTCCCTCCCATCTCCCCCTCCTTCTGTTCTCTTCTCTGTTTGCTCCAGTGTGATTTGCTCAAAGGGCCTCGGGGTGGGATAAAGTGAGGGGTGTTATGGTGTGTGAACTCAGTTTTCTACACTGTTACTCATCTACTCTCACCCCCCTCTCCTCTGAGTGAGTGACTGTATGCGTGTGAGAGTATGGGGGGGGTGTGTGTGTGTGTGTGTGTGTGTGTGTGTGTGTGTGTGTGTGTGTGTGTGTGTGTCTGCTCTCATTATACTGTATGACCTCCCCCATCTGTTTGGGTGTAGGTGTTTGGGGACACACCAACTCCACCAGAGAATGTGAGTTTCCTGGATATCCTGAGTGACCCCATTCCTGAAAGGCACTACAAAGAGTCAGAGGTACGCACTGTTCTGACGCATTAACATGTTTGTTTTGTGTGTTTTTGCAAACAAAAAAGCTATGAATTCACTAAAGGAATAGTTCAGCATTTTAAGTACGCTTGGAGTTACACGGAAAGATCAATATCACATATTTCATATATTTTCAAATCTCAAACCCCGCACATTTTAGGCCCATCTCCCAGCTACCTTTTTTATCTAAAGTCCTGGAGCGAGTAGTCTATGTCCAGCTGCAGTCGTTCTTAACCACGCATGGCATTCACGAAAGGTTTCAGTCTGGCTTCAAACCTATGCACAGTACTGAAACAGCCCTTTTAAGAGTTTTATGATCTGCTCCTAGCCGCCGACTCAGGTAGCCAAGCTGTCCTGGTGCTGTTAGACCTGACAGCTGCCTTCAACACTGTGGACCATAGCATCCTGTTGTCGCGACTTGAACAGTCCGCAGGCATCATAGGCTCTGCCCTTTTATGGTTCAGGTCCTACCTGACAGACCTTAGCTTCTCAGTGCAGCTAGGTGCCTTCTCCTCTGCTAAAGCCCCTCTTACCTGTGGGGTTCCCCAAGGCTCTATCCTGGGCCCCATCCTCTTTCTACTGTACATACTGCCCCTAGGTTCAATTCTCACTAAACACAGTGGTCTCCCTTCCACTGTTACGCCGACGATGTACAGATCTATCTGCCTCTCAATTCAAATATCAATAACTCATTATAGCCGTTGATGGACTGCTTGACAGAGATCAAATCCTGGCTGAGCAAAAACATCCTTAACCTCAACGAGAGCAAGACAGAGGTAATCTTTTTTGGACCCCAACCCCCAGCATCTCCGGTTGATATTCTGGGCTCTCAATAAAAACCTCCTCCCCTCTGTTATGAAGAGGGCTGCCAACACTCACGCATTGAGCGTGAGAGTCACGCAATTAACCCATATCTCACGCACTCACGCCACACATGCCTTTCCTCACACTAAGTTTTCGTCCAAAATAAATGTATATAAAAATAAAGTGAAAGAAAAGCAAACCGAGCGGTCTACGAAATGAGACGGTCTTCTGGCTTAGTTCAGTAAAGTTGGAACGATATTGGGAGATTCTGATTTCACGGATCAATAACTCATGAACAAAACGTTATTCAGACACAAATGACGTCTCCTAAGTACCGTGGTAAGGTTGACAACGAACTACAATCACAATTTGATCAAAAAAAGCCAATACGCGCCGTCCTCCGAGCTGGACACATTACATTGGTCTCTATCTGCAGCCGGAGAAGAAACGAGTGCTCAGGGACCGTCTGCAAAGTGCAACTCTGAAAAAAGAGAAAACAATAACATTCAATCACTATTACTATTACTTCACTCACGACACACATCAATAGTCTCCTGTTGGTCATACTACAGCAAGGAGTTTGGAAGAATATGCTTTTGAATAATTTTGGGGAATATTTATAATGTAAAATATTCAATAAATATGGCATCATCTTAAATAACTTTACTATTATACAGTATATTTCTACCAAACTCACTATTTGCATTGTTGTTGTTAGCATCTGGTTAGCTTAACTGCGATATTAAAAGCTGTTTCTAAAACAAGGAGAGGGAGAGCTCTGTCCTGTCAGACTGAGAAACTACAGCTCAGTGAGGTAAGGGACTCTGTTTAGATAGTTAACTTTAGTCTAGTTATCTCAGTGGGTCTCAAACGTTTTGGTCACCATTTATGAGAATAAATGAAAAACAGTTATGAAATACTATGACAGTAAAACAAGAATACAGTTTAAAAGGTGAGTGATTTGTAAAATATCCATAAAGAAAAAGAAAATCTGTTTACAGTTCTGTTTCACATGCGTGTTGAGAGATGTATCCATAAATTCCTTTTGCTCTCAAAGTGAACCAGATTGATGCATTTAACTTCAATATTAAAAAAAAAAAATCTTCCCGGGCATGGAGGTGAGGACCCCCCACTTGTAAAATAGCACTTTACCTCTGCTTATACCTATATGCCATTTTATATGCTGTGAGTTGATTATCGAGCCTTCATTGTAAGAGTCGCGGATACACTGTGTATGTGCGTATTCCACTGTAGCCCCAGTACATTAATGGGAAACCCTATTTTGTAACACTGTACACATGAACGTTTCTTTTTTCGGTTCACCAAAAAAAAATCTCACTCCAAACTGAACTCAAATTTTGGCAGCCCTGGTTATGAACCTTGGAGTGACCTTCAATAGCGCTTTTAAAAATGTGATAAGCAGGTCAGCTCCATAGTCAAAACCAGCTTTTATTTAAATAAGAATATTGGCCAAGACTAGGGATGCTCCGATCAATTGGCCGCCGATCGATATCGGCCGATATGCATTCTCTGCCGATCGATTGGTGCTCTCTATAAATGCCGATCGGGAGAGCCGATCACATGACGTAAAATACATGACACTTTTCTCTGTGGGCGGCAAAACAAGCTCGCCAAAATGGCTTCACCAGTCTGGCAGTATTTGAAGGTGTCCGAAAAAGACAGTAAAGTAGCGGTATGCAACGTGTGAAGCAGAAATCCTGCAGCTCCGCCTGCTGTGACGGGCCGGTGAGCGGAGCAAAACACACACTAAGAGTTAGACCTTACACACTTAGCTATTTTATCTACCTCTGGAACTAGCTAAACTAGTTATAAATATTTGTATTCTTCACTGTCGGGTCACTCATTACTGGGTCAGTGAGCTGCATGAGATACTGACAGGCTGTCAGGAGAGAGAGAGAGGGGGAGAGAGGAAAAGAGAGCGCTTCCGCTCATTTCTCCCGTTTTATTATCCAAAGTTAAAGTAAACTTGAATAATGTACTTCATTTGAATGTAATAATTCTGTTGAATAATGTACTTCATTTGAATGTAATAATTATGTTGGTTGTTGTTTGTGGAAGCGCCAGTGAATGAGCCCCATTAACTGAGTTTTAAACATCACTTTAAATGGAAGATCCCCATAGCCCCCACCCACTCAATCGGATACTGATTCCGGCGATCGGCCCCAAAATTGGCGATCGGAGCATCCCTAGCCAAGACCAAGTCGTTTTTATCTTTTAAAGACCTAGAAAGAGTTATTAATGCCTTTGTTACCTAGAGACTGGATTACTGCAACGCTCTGTACGTGGGTATGGACCAGGCTGCAATTAAACGCCTGCAGTTAGTCCAGAACGCAGCTGCGCGTCTTCTGTCTGAACACAAAAACGTGACCACATCACCCCAATTCTGGCCTCATTGCACTCACTGGCTTCCAATTCGGTTCCGAATTGATTTAAACTCCTTTTATTTGTTTTCAAAGCCCTAAATGGGCTGGCTCCGGCTTATAGCCGAACTACTCCATCGCCACACCCCTGCCAGAGCTTTAAGGTCGGCTGACCAGCTGCTGCTGATAGTGCCCAAGACCAGGCTCAAAACCCGAGGGCACCGAGCCTTCGCAGCAGCTGGCCCTAGGCTCTGGAACACTCTGCCCCTCCATGTGAGGTCGGCCCAGACCCTAGGCGTTTTTAGATTCTCACTGAAGACACACTTCTTCTCTCTGGCCTTCTAGTCAGAGCTGAGTACGACACCTGACGTTTCCCTGTGTTTTGTTTTTATATTTCTGTTGTAAATTATTGTCTTTTCTTCTTATTGTAGTAAAGTGTTTTTATTACATGTACAGCACTTTGGCTCGACCAAAAATCGTTTTTTAAATGTGTTCTATAAATAAAACTTGATTTGATTTGATATATTTGTATTGGATGACACAGGCGTGGATTTTCACCTGTGATCTTTCCACTTCAATAACTTTGCTTTACTTTCTAATGTGGCTTTGCTACTAAAAGAGCGTAATTCTCACTATTGAACCTCTTAAATTTAAATTGTCGCTCCACAAAGGCTTCACATTTCTTTACTCCCATCAAGTCTCTAGGATCAAAGGCCAATTCACAGGCCTGGGCACATAGAAGCATACAGACCAGCACACATGCATGCAAACAAATACAGTAAGCAAACACCCCATTCTCATCAAATAAGAGACAGTGAGGAAGTAAAATCACAACCGCTCTCATAATGGGTGCTATCTCACTTTCAATCCCACGGGCTGAGCTGAGGAAACAATCTGCTTGCACCTCCACACACAAAACATCACGCTCAAACAAACACACACTCGCACTGCACATCTACAGACCCATAGCTTTCCCCCCAAGATGCTTCACAGGGCCAAAGTTTCTGCAGACTCAGCGAGTAACTTATAGACCCACTGTTTACCCCGTGCAGGACCCGAGTCGCTGGATGTCAAGTAAAACTGGCCGAGGGCCTCTGGAGAAAGGATGGAGGGACGACCACAAGCCCATCATGTGCTCCTATAAGAGGGTGCAGTGCAGCTTCGAGGTGTACGGCTTCCAGACAAAGACCGAAGATTTCATACACAAAGTGAGACCGAGCTTTTTATTCCTCTACCGATTCATTAATGTTACAAGCCCATATAGGTGTAATACAAGGTTGAGAAATCAAAATGTATAACTAATTGGATTTAATTAAATGCTTAGCTTCATTCAAGCATTGATTTCTGCATTTTTGAGTCTTTACAGTAAAATGATGATCCTGAATAATCCTGATCTGTCATTTGTTATTCGAATGAGCAATGTGCTGCATTTTATCATATAGACATTAATTTATAGACATTAGTATGATTACCAAGACCACTGCCAAGAAGGCTCTCAGACTCAAATGACATCCTCTACCATTCAGTAACCCAACCTCAGGTCAGATTTAGTGGAAAGATTCCTACACTACAAAACCATAAGGAGCGTCTGTTCTTCTGGCCCAAACAAAGAAAAGGTTTAGAGTTTCTCACAGTGGAACACATAAAAGAGCTGATAACCATGAGGCAGAGCAAATAATCACAAAAGAAGAACCAAAAGTACTATAACTAGCAACGCCCTTTCTCCAACATTGTTACTGGAGTGAAAGAGCATTTAAAGGAATTTGGTTTAGTTTTGTCAAAAGGAGACCAAACAAACATACCCAAGATAAGTTTCCACTTATCTAAGTTACTCCTTATCTCAACCATAATCTCATTCAGTTGACATAATAACAAGATAGCATTGTTATTACTTGTACAATGACGTCCCGTCACGTTCTGCTTGATGACGCATTTCAAATAAACCAGCATACTTCTAAGTTTAAAGCACTTTTTAGCATTTTTAATGACAGTGTTTTTTTTTTCTGGTATTATTTTAGAGCATCCAGGACATTCTTCTGGTTGGACACAGACAAGCCGTCACGTGGATAGACGAATGGCACGGTGGGTCACATTCAGAAACACAACAGAACTATGCAGTTGTGTTTATTTTTTTAAATATGAAGCCTTTTAAAAAGTTAATATATATTCCATTGGCTGTGCTGATGCTTTGTGTGTTGGTGCGGGCTTGTGTGTTTGTGTCCCACAGGGCTGAGTTTGGATGAGGTGAGAGAGTACGAGCAGACGATGCAAGAGAAGACCAACAGCAAAGTCAAATCCAACCCGTGCAACACAGGTGAGGTTACAGCTCCTGATTATACTGTACAGAAATACAGCAGAGCATGGGAGGGGAGACAGCAGGGGGGACTGAAGTAGAGGAGAGAGAATACAGCTGGATGTGAGACCAGTGAGGGCAGTGAGAGGCGAGTATGAATAGAGTAGAAAGTTTGAAATGTGTATTTGAGCTCAGACGTAATGATTCTTGCATCTAATTTAAGCCTAACCAGCACCAGATACAGCAGGAGGTGCAGAGGAAGTACATAGAGAGGCCAAAACCTATTTTTAGATCATTACGAATTTACAATAAACCTGAACAGGAATGTTATATTTATTTAGCAAACCCTGTTATCAATTGCTGTAAACACTGCAATATAGTATAAATGAAAAATGGTGTAATGCTTGAACAGAGGATGGTGCCTAGTTGTGGCCTACAAGTGCCCAGATGGCTGGTGCACATCTGTGGGAGAAGAAATGGAGAGGGAAGAGCAGTCAGGAGGCATTTCACTACACGAGGAGCAGTGAGGAGGGAGAGGCGGAGAGTGTATGCCCAGAAAAGGGCGACAGAAAGACAGATGTACGAGGGGAAGAAGAGAGTAGGCAGGCTCATGAAGCGATAATGCCACAGCGTCAGTCTGATAAACAGTGTAATGCAGCCACCTGCTGAACTCTCCCCATCAACAGCCCTCTCAACATAAATAACAAGCCATTGCAGCACTTAGCTGCAAATGTCAGCCGTAGTGGGGTCTGTGTCTGGGCATATGTGTTGTGTGCATGCGTGTGAGTGCATGTGTGTGTGCGTGTGCGGTCACCCTGCCCCCTGCTGGTTAGTTTGGTGAACCTCAGCTTGATGTGAGAGATATCAAATGTAGTATTCCCACTATGGCCTGTAGCTTCTTGCTGCCTGTGCTCTCTCTCTCTCTCTCTCTCTCTCTCTCTCTCTCTCTCTCCCTCTGTGTGTGATGATGAGAGACATCAAGCTGCAAAAAATCTGCAGTCATTGCTCAACCTGCTGCAGCTCGCTGCACCGCCATGACCCCCTACAGGACAAATGATGCCACTGCGTCTGTCTCTGCACAGGCCGAATGATAGTTTTCATTCATCTGCCGTAATAAAAGTAAATGGATGTCATTTACTCAAGAGAGTCTAATGAAAAGCCGGGTGTGTGGGTTGAATACCAATGAGGGATTTAACTAATGGGAATCTAAGTGTATGACACAGATCTTAAGTATACTTAAATTAATTGGAAACCCAAACACAGTTGTCCCTCTGTATCTCTCATTTCAGTGCCTCTTTTGCTTTTCTTCCCCTTTTATTTCTGTACCGTTGTGTCTTTCATGTCATGTGTATGTCATTCTCTCTTCATCTTTCTATCCGTCAACTTTAACTTTAAATTTGCTTTGTTAGCATAACATGAAACGCATTTGTGTTGTCAAAGCAACTACAGAGGGAAAATTGTGGATATGGGAAAAGGAACAATTAAAGAAATGTCTCTTTCTCTCTCAGGCCCACTGGCTGCCTCTCGTCCTGCGTTCTCTCGCTCCATCTCAGTGACAGACGAGCGCTCCCTAAAGAAGCTGGGAGTGACGACGGTGGACATGTCCGAGTCCCCTCTGCCACATAGCCGCCTCCACTCCACCCCTGAATGATGCCTCTCGCATATACTGTACAGCGCCAACAAACACAAACCAATGTCAACATTCACCAGAGTCATGTGATGTTGTCTCTCAAACACTGACACACCCACATGCGCAGTGACACTAACAGGCTTAAAGTTATTTACTCTGGGGTGAGTAAGATGAAAAGATCAGTTCCTCTTTCAATACAGTCTTTCAAGTATAAGGCTACAGCCAGCAGCTGGTAAGCTTAGCTAAGCATAAAGACTGGAAATGGGGAGAAACCATATCTTTCAGGTTACATCTTTGTTTGTTTAATCCTTACAAATAATGTTTAAGATACAGTATAACAAATTATACTTATGCAGGTGTAAGGCTACTGGCAGTTTATTATTTTAAACTAAAAGACAGAATTGTTGTTTTCACAATTTAGATTTTTGTGCAGATGAACAAGCTAGATATACATGATGGTTATATGCACTAGATTGATTTTGGAGTAAGTCTATTATAGCTGTTTTCCACTGTTTCCATTCTTTGTGCTAAGCTAAGCTGATTGGCTACTGGCTTCGTATTTACTCGTAATCTCATTATTGCACAGAGGGCAAACAAGTACTTTTAAAACACATCCTTCCAGACCACCACCAAACAGATATGCATCTGTTCCTATGAACATGTAGTTGTTCTCTTTACTGCATGTTAAAAACACACAACTGCCAAACATGACCACAAACACTTAATGTTGAACTACAATTTATACTGTTGCAATCAAAATTCAGTCCAGGGTTATCTACAACCTGGAAACGTTGTGCACTTTTGTGTCGGTTCCTCAGCTATAATGGAGCTAAGAGACCACCAATGGGGCTCTCCAATTGTTTCCCAGCCCCGGCCCAGCAGCCTACAGACAAATGCATAAGGAGTTTAATAGAGTGGATCTAATGAGAGAGAAGAGGAGGACGGGGGGGCTGTCAATGCTATAGATCTACTCCTCTCTCCACCTCAGCCAATAGGTCAGACCGGGGTATTGACCGAGGGCAGTGAGGCGTTGTATTGGTTCCTTGATCACTTAGCTGAGCGCGGCAAATGGGTCAAGCCAGGGCTAAACTATAATCCAATGATATCAGCATTGATATGATTTTTAGCTTAATTTTGTACGTACATTTAAAAAGAGAATGGGTTCTCATTAGCAGGGATCAACAATGAAATATAAGTTTGCAGTCCTTTTTTGTAAAAACATGTATTTTTTTAATAAAGTGTAAAAATAAATCAAGAGAAAGATGTTTGTGGAAATTACACTGTATAGTCTTTTGGATTTGTATCAATAAACACAATTTCCAATGAGAGTTCACCAGTGTCCTGATATCTACCTGGATGAAGTGAAAAATGGACTGCACTGCACACATTATCAGCCATGTTTGATCAGTATTGACCTGTAAAGATGGACCAGCTGCTCTCACATCATCGCACTCACATGTAATCTACTCACCAATTTCACACTTGTGTGCCATGTGGAACCGGCTCCAGCAGCAGTGTTCATGAAAAGAGGAAGCCACTTGGTCTAACCTGGTTTGGCTCTGCAGCTTGTGCCAGTTTTTTCTATGCAAAACAATGGAGAAGAGAGAGTAATGAATGTTCAACAGATGCGGGGTTGTGTGTTGGGCGTGTTCGCATGTCTGTCATCGCTTTATCACATTATTGTTCAAGACTTCATGACAAAAAGCCCAGGCTTGTCACGAAGAGACTTGGAAGTTTGTGTGAGTGACAGACCCGGCAGCTTGCTTCAAATGGTGCACTAAATAGCTCGCATTATGGGGCTCATGATGGCTTCTTTTATCTATACAAATCAAGAGCCAGCATGACAATTTGTTATTAGCTTCCCGACACAAGGGCTTTCAGATTCACATAAATAAATGCATACAAAAATCTTTCTCTCAATGCGTCTTCTTGCAGTAGCAGCAGGAGGCTGATGTGAGAGAGTAAGAGCTCAACACAGCCAGGAGTTCACAAGTGGTGCAGAGGGACCCAAACTGCCGGCTGCACCGCATTAACATCACCTCTTTCTCTTTCACTTATTTGTCTCTCCCATTACTGCTGTCTCCACTATTCTCCTTTTCTCTTCTCTGTCTTCATCTTTTATTCTCTGGCTCTCATTCTTGAAGTCTTCCTTTCTCTCGTTATCTTTATCTGTGTCCTCATCGCCGTTCCTCAAGAGGGCCTCTAAAGAAGAGGTACTGTGTTCATTATATGGAAATGTTCCCCATGGTACATTATCATACATCCTGACCCCTTTGACGCTGAATCATCCTGGTATTCAAAGTTGGCCCCTTCAGACCCCACAAATAGCACCGTAGAGTAAAGAAAGGACGCTCCCTAGAGCTGCAAACGCTGCACAAACATTATCGGCATTGTACTGGAGTGTACAGACACTTTTATGTGAAACCTTGAGCTGTACACCTATGGGTACACAAGAGAGGACAGTGGAAAGACAAATGGGGGAAAACAATAAAAAATAAGCAAATAAGATTTAAATAACAAAACACTTTTGAAATGCGGAAAGCCAGTTTATTCTTGTAAAGTTAAGAATAAAAACGTATATGCAAGTCTGTACAACATTTCTCCTCGACCTCAATGGCGTTTTGCCCAACCACACTGATGTACGAGCTTCACCCTGCAGATCAATACAAGCTCTCCATTCACTAGACAGACACTAATGCAACCGCCTCATTTGTTTGACGACATGTGCACGTGCATGTAAAAGTGTGTGTCCGTTTCTTTCAAGCTGGTGCCCATTTCCTGGCTGGGCAGTATCTTTAACTCAGTCGTTAAGGGAGAGTGACCATTAAGCCACATAGTTTAGCATGTCACTAACTCAATCGCTTATTTCTCTTGCCAACATTGATTTAAAAAGGGTTCAGTGTGTGTGTGGTGTGTGTGGTGTGTGTGGTATAGTGTGTGGTGTGTGGTGTGTGTGGTGGACCTTGCTGTTGTTACACATTCACCAACAGAGGACGGCAAGCCTTTTTGAGGTCCACGTTTGGTCATGCTTTGAATCATGCTGTGTGACTAAAAGTTCATACTCAGCGCTGCCTCTGCAGGCTGAAGCAGGGATCTTAACGACTCACTCACATCTGGGTTTTTTTTCACACTACTCTATAGTGGGAATGTTGTGCAACCCCAGGCAGGATTTCAGGCTATAACGGAGTTATTAAATACAGATGGAGCTATAGCGCTGCTGCTCACAGCTTAAAATCCAAGATGCTGTTGTGCATGTGAAATCAAATCTCTTTTTAAAAACAGTTCATATTTGAATGTATCAATAGTAAAATGAAGCCTTTAACGGTTCCCAAGTGAAATATTAGATGCAATAGTGAATCCCCTGAATAAATTTTTTTTGAAGCAGCAACATCCCAGACATCCTGGTCCTTCAGGAGAGATAGTGAAGATCAGGCTTTTGCACTCACTCACTCACTCGGGGTGTGAGTGACCCACATTATAAAGAAGTCATTCATCAGTCAAACTCCCTGAAGTCACAAGAGGGATAGGATAAATGAGGAATTATTGTCTGGTACAAAGAAGAAATATCCAACTGCATTACCCCAATATGTGGCTTAAAATAAAACAAGGCCTCATTAACCCTCAAACAGATAGATGTAAGGGCCGTCTACATGCCCCCTCTGCTCCGCCACACTGATGAAAATATCTTCCCTCTATCTACATGAGCAGATCTGTAGCTTCCAGGCACAGGGAAGTGTGTTAGTCTGTGGAGAACTGAGCGCACATACTGGCTCTTTACCCGACTACAGTAGAGAGCAAGGTAACATCAATATTGAGACAAAATAAATCTAACTAACTTCCTCATTCTAACTCTGACCTCCAGGTCAACAAGAAAGGCAGAGACCTCCTGCAGCTCTGTCAAAGCCTGGGTCTGTACATAATGAACAATAGGTTATTAGAGACTCTTCAGTATACACACACGTTTTGCTCACCTCTTGGCAACAGCACAGTTGATTACATGGTAACAGATCTGGATCCTTTCTCTCTCTTTCAGTGCATTCACAGTCAAAACATTGACCCCGCTGCCTCCCCACAGCCAAATTACTGTGTTTCCCCCGAGGACAGTGACAAACAACAGCACACCTCCACAACCCACAGAACCATATAATTGTACAGATGGGCCAGAAACCGCACAGAAGAGTTCCACAAAGCAATCAGCACCCCCGTCATACAAACCTTATTATATGCCTTGACAGAGTAAACTGTATGCAAAGTGAAACAGTCAAAAATAAAAATCCCTAAAGTCCTAGAAATGCCCATTGGTTTGATAAATAATGTAAAGACATTAAACAAGTTAGGAGATAATTTAATCAAAATCTCAGAGTTCTTGGAAATGCAATAAATGAACCAATATAGAAGGCACACAGGGAATTATATGCAAAGAAAGTAAAATTTACACTCAAAGTCCACGTTCTAACGTTACTTGATCTGACATATAATCAATATTCCTTTATGGTGGGGTCTGCTCTCTTCCCATGCATTTAGAGTCCTGCACGAACATCTTGCGGTTAAACGGAAAAAACCTTCCTGCAGATCTCAATAATTACACATCAAAATTAAAAAAGGCAATAAAATATTGGCATATCCAAACGAAAAAACAGTGACCCTCAAAAATCAAGAGCTGATTAAAGAAAAGAGTTCCCTCTCTCAGCTGTTCCTGACGCAGAGTTCACTTTCCAACTCTGCTCTGCATCAGGACCAGTCTGACAACAAATCAATTAGAGTCAACTAATGTATAAAATACGCCAGAAAACTAAACTGAATCACCAACTGACACAAACAACCTAACCAATATGTGGTGCTGTCTGTCTGGCCGTAAAGACACAGCACTGAGCTGCAGGTTACCTAAGGACTGACACCAAACACAGATCTACCCTGAACAAGTACCGACTCAATACTTGTTATTATTTTTTCATCAATCCAGTTATGTTCCGCTTTCTTATCTTGATATTTAAATCACAAAACATTGTTAACATGTTTAATTTATTCGGTATTGTTTTCATTTTAAAAACTGTACTAACAATTTGGACACTGTGCTTTGGCAATACTGTGTTTTAACAAGATAATTCCAATAAAGCCTCTTTGAAAGTATTTAAATTCAAATGAATTGAAAGAGAGAGAGAGTGGGGCATTAAAAGGGGTACTTAGTGTTCATAAACCTGATAATAATAATGGATATTTACCTCCCGTTGGGTAGCTAACCGTGTGTGATTTTCTGTGGGTGTGTGAGTGAATACCCACGAGTGTAAGTCTTGCTTAAGACTACACGGTGAGGCCAAGATGCTTGTGTTCCATCATTACAGTGTCAGCAATACCGTTTTTAGCTCACTCAACCACATAAATGACTTCAAATCCTCTGTGTATTAAGCCTCACCACTGGGAACACAATTTGTAACCTCTGCCCAGTAATACGTTAACTGGTCTTTATCTGGGGACAGGCAGAGTGTAAAATTCATACAATATCTGAAAGAACTAATTGAACCAATTAAGAGTGAATATGGATTACTGTGGGACTGTGAACACACACATTCCCTCTGGAATAGAGTTGGAGACCACTGCTTTCACGCGATAATGATTGTCAGTGCAAATGGATGGCGGTACAGGGTCTCAGCGTGTGCACAACAACACTCCCAGAGTTGACTGGCTTTGCATTTACACTGATGTGTTTTCATTTCCTGAGCAGCTGATCCCAGAGCTGCTATTCTGGGCAGTAATTAATTGCATGCGGGTAAAGGAAAAGTCAAGGATAAGTGTTGAAACTGTTCCTCGTCTTGTACGCACTCTCAAATCTCACACAAACACAAAGGCAGCGCTCATTTTCAACGCAAATACACATTTGCTCGAGGAAGCAAAAAGAAAATGACTATACACAAGAAGATACGCAGAAACTTGAACAAAAAAAAAAGCCTTGGGTACTTCATGCTTTAAATATCTTAATCAGCAAGCCCATAAAGCCTCCCGATTTTAATTGCCCCACCATGACTATTAATTACATAACAGCCATTGCAGCCAGCATGCAATATGTTTGCTAATAGGAGAGGATGGATTAGGAGGGTGAGTGGAATATATTATACAATACTGTTTTATTGATCTACAAAGAAGAATTACGTCCCCCTCCAGGATGTACAATACAAACAACAGCATTTATTTTCATACGAGCTCCAAAGAACAAATTGCAGGAAACACTTTATAAGCTGAACGAACAATGTGCCGCGTTGTCGTGAAGAAGCTTCATAAGATTACTGTAAAACAAGAGATGCTTCAGCAGTAAGGAGAAATAATATATTAG